ACCGCCTCCTCCTCCTCCTCCTCCTCCGCCTCCGTCTCCTCTTCCTCTCCTCCTCCTCCTCCTCCTCCTCTCCTCCTCCCTCCTCTCCTCTTCCTCTTCCTCCTCCTCTTCCTCTTCCTCCTTCTCATCCTCCTCTCCTTCCTCTTCCTGCTCCCCCTCCTCCTCCTCCTCCTCCTCCTCCTTCTTGGATTGTTCTTGGATGCCTCTGGGGGCATCTTGGAGGCCTCTCTGGGGCATATGTGCGGTCTCTTGGGGACCGGTGGTGGCCTTTTGTGGGCATGCTGGCTGTCTCGGGGACCATCCTGGGGCGGAGGTCTCTGAATTGCAGTTCAAGCTCCCGCTCTCGGGCCCCTTCTTGGTAGCGTATTTGCAGCCTCTTTAGCCCCTCTTGGGGGCCTCGGAGGCAATCGCTTCGGCATCCTGAGCCGACCCCCAGGATTTCCACGACGGACCACGAGGCCCCCAAGAGATGCCCTTGGGCGAATTTGGGCTGCCGAGAGTTCCTGGGGTTGTCCGAGCTTTGCTTGGGAGCCTGCGGGGGAGAGTTGCGCACGGTCAGGGCGAGTTTGACTTCGCGGAGGCCCACGCAGGAGGCCCCAGGAGAAACCGAGAGCGCCCAGGACATCTGGCGAACTTGTGGCCCGGCCCCTTACGACATCCTAGAACCTCGGGAGCCTTGAGACGGGGGTCAATGCAAACGGGGTCAGCGAGGGCACCGGATCCTGCAGGATCCTTCGAAGACCCCCTCTGGCTGACCCGGGTAAGGGAGCCGCTCGTGGCCGCGAGGCGGCCGCGCGTATTGGCTGACCCGGGTCTGCGAAGACCTGCGGTGCAGTTTCTTTTTCTTGCATTGCAGTTCTTGGTTTCCTGCTGACCGGGGTCTGGATTGCCCCGGGTCAGAAGATCCCCGAAAACCTTTCCAACACTCACATATGTATGAGCCTTGGGGCACTCCACCATGCGCTGAAGGCACCGTAGCGGATTTGCCGTCCTCCTTGGCATCGCTCGGACGTGTGCATGTGTGTCGGCGAGGGCCATCGATCAGCCTCATTGGGTCATCTTGCGAGAAAACACACGCGCGAAATCGAAACATGCACGGGGAATGGACGTCCGAGCGATGGCGAGTCGCTTTCCCTCTGCTAATCGTCCTCACACTGCTGCTCCCTCTCCATCTTCGCGGCGCTTTCCTGCCTCAACTCTTACGTCGCATCTTTGGCGGATCTCGCCTGCCACAAATTGTTGTGTCTTCGTTGTGCAGGACGAGGGCTCGATGCGGACTCGACACGACATGACATCCCTGCTCCCTCCGACTCGCCACCAACCAAACCACCCAACCCCAACCCGAAGACCCCAATCTGCTCTTCCGTTCCCAGTGGGGTGGGGGCATCGGGAAGCATTGAAAAACACAATAGCGACGCAAAACACGGGGTCGTCTGCGCCGACATTGGCGCGTGAGTTGCCCGCGTAAGGTCGCGCGTAAGCGCCCTCGCTTCCAATTTAGCGTGCCGCGCTGGCAGACCGCGCAAGCTGCGGCGTGAGGCTGCGATGCCATCTCGCGGAAGACCCGTTTCTGATCGTCGCTCACATGTGAAACCCGCACCCATCCCAACCCGGAATTTTTGTCTTCGGGTTGGGTTGGGGTTGTTTGGTAGGTAGTCTGACTCCTCCCTCCCTCCCATTGCCCTGTCCCTCTTGGGTCGCCGCCTTTCTGATCAGACCGGCCGCGGGGACGACGACGGCGACGGCGATGGCGACGGGGAGAACGACGACGACGCCAACGGCGACGGTCTCTGTCCTCGCTACGCCTCCGTCAGCCGCGCCCGGCGATCAGTCCTCCTCCTCCCTCTTTGCGAGTCCATGGGGGCGGTCCGCTCGCGGCGTCGGACCTGCTCCTCCTCCCGGCCTCCCGGCCTCCCTGCCTCCCTGCCCCCCCCCCGCCCCCCCCCCCCCCCCCACACACACACACACACGTTCACACACGCGAACACACACACACACAGACACACACGCACACACGCACACGCACACGCACACACACACGTGCACATACACTTGCACACACACACACAAACACACACACAGACACACACACACACACGCGCACACGCGTACACGTGCACACGCGCACGCGCACACGGCACACGCGCACACGTGCACACGCGCACACGCGCAAACACGCACGCCCACGCACACGCACACGCACATGCACACGCACACGCACACGCACACGCACACGCACACGCACACGCACACGCACACGCACACGCACACGCACACACACGCACGCACGCACGCGCACGCGCACGCGCACGCGCACGCGCGCGCGCGCACGCGCGCACGCGCGCACGCGCACGCGCACGCGCACGCGCACGCACGCGCGCGCGCGCACGCACGCACGCACGCACGCACGCACGCACGCACGCACACACACACACACACACACACACACACTTCCCTCGTCATCCTCGTGCAACCCCCCTCCCGCGCCCCCCAAAGGTCTATCACTGCCTCGAGGAGCTGGACCGATGGGTCTCCCGCGTCGCTTGCTCGCGCCTCGGGGTGCTGCGCCTGATTTCTGTTCAAGCTCACGGGCGGCTCGAGGCAGTCCGTGTCTCCAAGCGTTGCCGTCCGCATCTCCTCCTCCGAGTTCGCTCCCCCCTATCATCACTTCTCGTCATCCTTCTTCCCCCTCCCTCCACCCACAAGGGGATCTTGGCCGGAAGTCCAGAGGCATGTGGCCTAAGGCTTCCTCCCTGCCTCCCTTCGTGGTCCGCGTCCAACGCCGTCCTGGCCCCCCACCCACCCTCTTCGCCGTGGCGTCTCCCTGGCACGGCAGGGCTGCACCGGCGGCAACGACAAGGGGGGATAGGCACAGGGGGGGATGCACGCCCATTGCCCGGCGACAGGGGTCCGATGGCCTTAAGTTGGGCCTGTCCTTCTACAGGAGGAGTTTTCAGAAGTAGTCAAAAAGTACTCTGGGGACGATTCTTTGACTATGTTTGAATATTTGCGGGGTATTTTTTGACTGTTTTTCATTTTTCGTCCAAAATCAGCCTGTAGTGGACCATGCCCGACCTAACGACAGCCCCACTCTGCACAGGAAGGTGCGGATGCACCATCTGGGCCTGTCGCAGATCTTTCGGCGATGTCTCGCCGATTCCAGGTCGGCGCATCCCTCCTGTGCCAGTCCCCGCCTTTCGGTGCCCCTCATTTCGGGCCGGACGAAAGGGGGGGATTGGGAAAGGAGGGGTTACGAAATTTGCTGCATGCAGCTGGTTTCGGCCTCACCGAGGGGCCCATTCCTCGATACATAGCTCCATCCGGCGCCGGCCGGGAAAATCAGCTACGTGAGCTGATTTTTCAAACCCCCCCTTTGCTATCCCCCCCTTTCGCCCGACCCGATCATTGCACGAGCAAGCGAGCCTGCTCCCAGGCGTCCCCAGGCGCTTCCAGAGCGCTCGCAGGCGCCCCCGGGCGCTCCCGGGCGCTCCCGAGCGCCTCCCTATAGCGTCAAGTCGGGCATGTCCCTTTGCAGAAGGGAGATCAAGGGCGCCCTCGAGGGCGCGAAGTTATTCGCGCTTCGCGCTTCGCGGTTCGGCTCCGATTCCTCCTCGTCCTCCTCTTCTCCCCTGGGAGGCGGCGCGAGAGGGCGAAGTTATTCGCACTTCGCGCTTCGCGCAGCGCGAAGCGCGAAGTTGGGAGCCCTTAGGAGATCCAAACACATTCAAAACATAGTTTGGAGACGCTGATTCGACTACGGCTGGCTACTGTTGAATGCTTCTGGGTACTCGTATGTTTCTTCCACCACCCGCCTCCAGGAGGACATTCATGAGGGAAAGAGCACTTTTGGGTCGGCGGGGCGAGAGCGAACCTCTTCCGCTGAAAGCTAGGCGGGCTACGCACAGCTTTAATTAGGGAGACAGGGCACAGGCGGGCGGGGCCTCAGAGGGACAAAAACACAGACACAATTCATCGTCGATTCCCCGGAACATATGGGAAACTATGGGAAGTCGGGGGGGAGACAGAAGCCCAGAACACGTGGGAAAGGATGGGGGGAATCCTGTTCACTGCCCGTGCCTATTGCTCTGCGTGCCCCAGGGCCCCCTCCGGACATGCCCGACCCAGCCCCGGCGCCCCCGAGCGCCCCCCCCCGAGCGCTCGACCCTCCCCTCAGCAGAGCTCCCGCCCTCGCCCCCCCCTCCTCCCCCGAGCTGCCCGTGCCCCCCCCGCGCTGCCCCTCGCCCCCCGCGCGCGGCCCCCGTCGCCCGACCGCGCCTCTCCCGTGCCGGCCCGCCGGCTCGGAGGCCTTCGCGAGGGCGGCGCGCGGAGCGCTCGACCGGGCCGTCGAGGGAGGGAGCATCGGGAGACTCTTCATGGGGGGGGATCCCATGGGGGGGATAGGATCCCAGGGGGGGGGATCCCATGGGGGGGCAGGAGGGGATCCCATGGGGGGGATCCCCTCCTGCCCCCCCATGGGATCCCCCCCCATGGAGAGTCTCCCGGAAGTAAGAACAGGGCAGAGCAGGGAACAAAGCAGACGAAGAACACACACACACACACAACAGCCAATCCCCCCGCAGGGGGACAGGCCCGACTGGAGCGTGAGCACGAGCACCCCGAAGCCCGCGCGGACTCCAGTGTTAAGTCGGGCCGGTCCCCCTACAGGGGGATCTTCGACGAAAAATAAGACATACCCCAAAAATGCCCCCAAAAAGGTCAAAACAATAGCCCCGAAAAGTAGTCCCCAGACTATTTTTGGACTATTGTTTGATTATTGCTGGGCTATCTTTTATTTTTCGTCGAAATTGTCGAGCATCGTCGATTTTTTGGCCATCTTTTATTTTTGGAATATTTGTTTTATTATTTTTGATTATTTTTGGGGTGTCTTTTATTCCCTACCTAGGCTCTGCCTAGAAGGGTTCTTACTCTCTATCTTACAGGGGCTGGGCAGTGGAAATCGCCCCGGGTGGTTCCCCCAGGATCCGCCCCGCGGTTCCCCCAGTTACGTCCCCTTAGCTTAGCGTTGCTTATCTCATCTTAGCTTAGCTTATGTCATCTTAGCTCAGCTTAGCTTCATCTTAGCTCAGGTTTATCTTAGCTTAGCTTACCTTCATCTTAGCTTCGCTGAGCTTTAGCATAGCATAGCACATCATAGCATACCATAGCGTAGCATGACATAGCGCAGCACATCATATCATAGCATAACCTAGCATAGCATAGCATATCATAGCGCAGCACAGCACATCATAGCACAGCGCAGCATATCATAGCATAGTATATCATGTCATAGCATATCATAGCATATCATATCATAGCATATAATATCATAGCATAGCATAGCATATCATAGCATAGCATAGCATAGCATAGCATATCATAGCATGGCATAGCATAGCATGGCAACTGATGCTGCTTTCCTAGGGGCTCCAACTTCTAGGTAGGGTCGCACTGGGGTATTTGTTTGGACTATTTTGGGGGGTGTCTTTTATTCTTCGTCGCAGCTCCCCCCTGCAGGGGGGCGGGCCCGACCTCGCTCCCGTGGGGGCGGCGACGGGCCCCCCCCTCCCCCGTGGCGCTCCCCCGGCGCCGCGGGGCGCGCGGCGCGGCGCTCGAGGGAGCTCCGCTCGGGCCTCCGACGATGCTCGCGCCGGACGAAGGGGGCGGGAGGAGGGAGGGAGGGGGGGGAGGGAGGGAGGGGAGGGAGGAAGGAGGGAAGGAGGGAGGAAGGAGGGAGGAGGAGGAGGAGGAGGAGGAGGAGGGAGGAGGGAGGGAGGAAGGAGGGAGGGAGGAGGAGGGAGGAGGGGGATGAGGAGGAGGATCCCCCCCAGGAGGAGGGGGGAGGAGGAGGAGGAGGAGGGAGGAGGAGGAGGAGGAGGAGGAGGAGGAGGAGGAGGAGGAGGAGGAAGGAGGAAGGAGGGAAGAGGAGGAGGAGGAGGAGGAGGAGGAGGAGGAGGAGAAAGAGGAGAGGATCCCCCCCCCCTCCAGCTCATGGTGGTGGTACCGTGGTGGAAAACACCCCCATCAAGGGGGGGATAGGGAAAGGGGGGGGTTCGAAATCTGCTGCGTGCAGCTGGTTTCGGCCCCACCGAGGGGCCCATCCCTCGATACGTGGCCGCCTCCCGGCGCCGGGAGGCGCCGGGGAGATCAGCTGCGCGAGCTGATTCTCACCCCCCCCCTTGCTATCCCCTCCTTTCGCCTGGCCCGAGACAAGCTCGCGCGTGCGCAGCCGTCGGTTCCCTCTCATGCCGTGGTCACCCCCATCAAGGGGGGGATAGGGAAAGGGGGGGGTTCGAAATCTGCTGCGTGCAGCTGGTTTCGGCCCCACCGAGGGGCCCATCCCTCGATACGTGGCCGCCTCCCGGCGCCGGGAGGCGCCGGGGAGATCAGCTGCGCGAGCTGATTCTCACCCCCCCCCTTGCTATCCCCTCCTTTCGCCTGGCCCGAGACAAGCTCGCGCGTGCGCAGCCGTCGGTTCCCTCTGCCGGTCTGGCTGCGCCGAGCATCGACGGGGGGCAGCGTTTAAGTCGGGCGTGTCCCCCATACAGGGGGCGTTTCGACGAAGGATCGAACATACGCAAAACATACTCGGAGGATGCTCAGAGATACGCAAAAAATAGTCCCCAGACTGTTTTTGACACTATTTTTGAATATTCCTCCTGTGGGGGGGGACGGGCCCGACTTAAAGGCAGTGGGGAAACCGTTCACAGCCAAGACGCTGAAATAAGGAACAGCTTGGATTCGGAAGGGGCTCGATATTCCTTACGTCCTTCCGTGGCTGTTCCTCTAGACCTTCTCGTGCACACAGGCGGCTTTTTTGGAGCCACAGATGGGCTTCGTTCCTTACTTAGCGTTCCTTATTTCAGCAGCCCGACTGTAGGGGGCGCCGTGCCCCCTTCACGCCCGCAATTCTCAGGCGATCGCAACACATGGATTACGGGGGCGTGGATCAGCGACGGGTCCCATTTCCGTGGGACACCGCCGGATTCCCGCCGCCGAGCGAGGCGGCGCTGGCCGCATCTTGGGGAGGGCACCTCCCTCGATCCATGGATTAGGCGACCGCGCGCCAAAGCCATGGATCGCTGGTCCATGTCCGCGCGCTTCCGGGCTTCGGGGGCCGGGTGGGGAGGCAGCATCAGTACAGGCAGCGAGCGTGGACAGAGCTACTCAGGAGGGGAGGTGGGGGGGAAGACAAAAAGCCCAGAACATCTGGAAACACATGGGGAATTCCGTTATCTGTGTGCATTGATGTGTGTGTGTGTGTGTGTGTCTTGGAGCCCCTTCAGCCACGCGCCTCTGGACAGGAGCACGCGCCCGGTGGTGCCTGCGAATCCGTTTGGTGGCCCGTTCGCTCTTCCTTTGCGAGACCAGTGGGGAGGGGTGGCATCCGGGCAGGCCGCGAGCGCGGGTGGAGCCACGCGCCTCTCTGGACAGGAGCACGCGCAGGCCAGCCACAACTGGGGGAGCTGCTGTCCTTCCCCCCCTGGGGGGACCCATCGATTTTCGACACCCCTCCCAAGAGCTCGTCGAGGCGATAGGTCCCCCAAGGGGGGGGTAAGGACCACAGCTCCCCCACTTGTGGCTGGTCGGACGCGCCCCGTGGTGCCTGCGTTTGAACCCGCGCGCTCTCCCTCCGCGGGCCCGCGCTCCTTGGTGAGGGGGCCGGCTGAACGTAAGAGTGACCTTTCGCGCGGGTGACCTTTGGTGCGGGCCCATGGGGTGCCCCGATCGCCGAAAGCGGTGCGATGGTAGCGCCCTGCGCGCTTGTGTTTTTGCTCCCCCGCGGCCCCCAAAGAGCCGCGCACCAAAGGTCACTCTTACCCAGGGTCACTCGTGCGTGTAACCGAGGGGGGGGCCCGGCACCCAATAGTTACAATTGTTTGAGTCACATGTGCTCTTGCCGGAAGGCTGGCATTGGGCGGACAGCCCATACCGTGAAGTCGGGCCTCTCCCTCTACAAGAGGAATATTCAAAAATAGTAGAAATGTTGTCTGGGGACGATGTTTTTACAATTTTTGACCATTATTGGTGTATTTTTTGTATTTCTGATTTTTCGCCCAAAATCCCCTTGTATGGGGACAGGCCCGATTTCACCCAATCATTACAATGATTTGAATCACACGTGCTCTTACCGGGAAGCTGGCATGGGGCGGACAGCCAATTCCGCAGTCCTCGCGACTCTGTTCGATGTCTCGTTGCGCGGTGGCAGGTAACACTATGTTTGTGAGCGGGTTTCAAGTGCGGCTGTTGGACAGGTAACTCAAGACAGGTCCGTGCCTATCTGCATCTGATGTCCAACTCCGGAGGACGTGGTTCCACGGAGTGTTTTTCATAGTGGTTGTTTTTGCAAGTGCACTTGCAGGGGCAACGGAATTATAGAATTATAGACCAGTGCAGAGCACGAGGATCACCTATACAGTCGGGGCCCGGAAGAAGGAACCCTTTTGGTTGGGGAGGGGCTCCGCGTTGCTTAAGTGTTTCGCAGCTTGCCTCAGGTTTTCCTTATGTTTTCGGTAGGACATCGAAGTTTAACCTTTTGAAAAAAAAGGGGCATCGTTCCTTATTTAGGGTTCCTTAGGTCAAGGCCCCGACTCTAACTATACAAGCGGCATTCGCCATCATTTAAGCCGATCCGTCGTGTCTCTGTCCACGCTTTGTGCTGGCGAGGACATGCGACCTCCTAATCTGCTTGGGCATCAAACCTTGGTGCAGGAATGGGGCCATGACCGTTGAACGATGGTGATGATGCTGATGATGATGATGCTGATGATGCTAATGGTGTTTATGATGATGACGATGGTGATGATGATGGTGATGCTGATGCTGCTGCTGATGATGATGATGATGATGGTGATGCTGATGATGATGCTGATGATGATAATGATGATGCTAATGGTGCTGATGCTAATGCTGCTGATGCTGATAATGATGATGATAATGATGGTGCTGATGATGATGATGATGATGATGGTGATGATGATGCTGATGCTGATGATGATGATGCTGGTGGTGGTGATGATGCTGCTGATGATGATGATGCTAATGATGATGATGGTGATGCTGCTGATGATGATGATAATGATGCTAATGGTGCTGATGATGCTGCTGCTGATGCTGATGATGCTGATGATGATGATGCAGATGATGATGATGATGATAATGATGATGCTAATGGTGCTGATGATGATGCTGCTGATGATGATGGTGGTGGTGGTGATGATGATGATTGATGTTCTGTGGGGCCTGGGGTGCGGAAGGGGTGCGAAAGGACAAGGGGCACACCGTCGGCGCGTTGCCATACGGATCACTCTGGGCTGCGGGGGGGGGCTCTCCGGCCTGCGGGCGCCGTGCTTGGGATCTCTAGTCGGGGAGCTCGCTCGTGGCCGACGGCTCGCCGTGGCCAGGGGAGCTCCTGCGTTCGCTGGTCGGCGCTCCTCCGGATGGCGGGGGCGGAAAAGAGGGGGGTGATGACTAGGGGTGGGGGGATTTCATGGCGGGGGGCATGCTGCAATGCTATTTCCTCAGATATCATGGCGCCTCTTCTTATTTCATCACGTCCCTGGCCCCCCCGCTGGGCCGCGCACATGCCGCCGGTCATGATTTGCACCCCCCCTCTTGGACACCCCCCTCTTGGCCGCTCCCGATGATGGCGGGGTGGCTGCAGCGGACGGGGAGCGCAGACATGGGGAAAGGACTTGCAGGAGGGCGACCAGGAGGGGGAGGGGGGAGGGGGGGGCCAGAAGGACAGGGACTCGTTGGCGGGGTCTTGTATATAAGGAGGGGGGCCACGAGTAGAAGAAGGAGCAGGATCAGGGACGGGGACGAGGACGAGAAGCGGATATGAGTGAAGGAGGCGAAAAACGGCGAGGGGGTGTGGCGGGTGGGGAGGGAATAGGAAGGATTATCCAACGGATAGTATGGGACAAGCGGGGTGGAAATGTTGAGGGGAGAGGTGGGGGAAGAAGATACGTGAAAGGTGAGGCGTGAATGTGAGGCAGGACAGGTACGGGGATGTGGGCGGGAGTGGGGAGGGAGGGAAGATGAAGATGAAGGGACACGACAGTGTCCGATCTTTCATTGCTACACTTCTTGGAGTTTCTCATTCACGTCGTAGTTTTACTCATGCAGTCAGACGCGGCAGTAGGGATGAGCCCAACCGCGTTGGACACCCGCCCAGCCGACTTGTTCCACTGAGTCCGCGCTGTCGGTATAAAGGGCACCCTTTCGGCTTGTTTTGCAAGTGTCTTCTGGCACGTGCTACAGTTTCAGTGGGGGCGTTGCTGCAGAGCCAGCTTGTCGGGGTCGAACTCCACAGCGAAAGAAGATCATACTTCGAGTCAGGGATCGACTACATAATTGATTTACACACCGTTGTTTTTCCCGCCGAATGCACGAAGAATGCACGAAGAATACATCGAATGCTCAACAGACCTCCGGAGCATTCGACGCATTTTCCGTAGACGCGGTGGCACATATTTCGGTATTCGAGTACAGACGGATATACAGATACATATATATAGAGAGAGAGGAACAGAGAGTGAGCCAGAGAGAGAGAGAGATACAGAGAGAGAGAGAGAGGCATGAGAGGTGCCTTCCCTCCTCCCACCTTGTTCTCTTCGTCTGCCCGATTCAGGAGATTCGCTCGATGAAGGTCCCAGGGAAACACCAAGCGCGGTGGCATCCCAGAGACAAGCCGACGCAGAAGCATTCGGCTCGAGACGTGGCAACCTTCCATTGTCGTCTGCCTGTGCAACTGCTCTTTCCGTACAGAGCCAGATGTGTCGCAGAAGATGGCAAACAGTCGGTTGGAGCTACGGTCGCCTCATCCACGGCAGAGGCGACAGACAGTTTCCCCTCACCGAGCCGAGCCTGAGGCCTGCTTGGCTCTGGCCATCGGTGAGAGCATAGTAGTACAGTCGGGGCCCTGAAGAAGGAACCCTTTTCGTTGGGGAGGGGCTCCGTGTTCCTTAAGTGTTTCGCAGCTTGCCTTAGATGTTCCTTAGGTTTTCGATACGAAGTCGAAGGTTAACTTATGGAAAAAAGGGGCCTCGTTCCTTCTTTTGGGCTCCTGAGGTCAAGGCCCCGACTGTAGAAGTAACGCTCACCAGCGTAAAGCAGGAATCTGCCCCCCGCGGGAAGCAGCGGCCCTCAGATTGCGAGTGTCAGGTGGCCGCAGCGCGGGCCGCTGCTGGCGTCGATGGGGCGAGTCCGTCGCGCAACAGCCGGCGCGACTCACCTTTTCGGAGCCTCCTCCTCCCTCCTCCTCCCTCCTCCCTCCGCCCTCCGCCCTCCGCCCTTTCTCTCCGCCCTCCGCCCTCCTCCCCCCACTGCCAGACCTTTGGGTGGCGGTGGTCCCGCAGCTCAGGTGGCAGCGGCCGCCTGGACCACCCTCAGGGGCACGAAGGTTATCGCGGTTCGCATGTCGCCCTCGCGGTCAAGGCCAGAGAGGCCTTTCTCCAGGGAGCCGCGCGAGAAGGTCTGAAGCGAGCTGCGTCCCGCACCGTACGACGCGAAGCGCGAAGCTATTACGTGGGTGGCCGAATCAGGTCGCCATTCGCTGTTGTTTCTCCTTGATGCTGGGACGGATGCACCAGGAACCCGTGGTGCCGATTATGGTTTCGTATCTTGCAGGGGTGCGAACACATGTGCGACCTCTCTCCCCACCACGCGTTGCGACCAGGGCCCCCCCCTTCTCAACAGAGCTTCGCTCGCTGAGTAAGACGTCCGTGAATGGTGTCCCGCTTCACCCGGGGGTGCTTGTCGCCAAGGCTGGAGGCAGCTCACGCAGCCATCATGATGACGACAGATAAAAGGGGGCCAGATGCGAACCCTACCCCTACCACCTACGATTTCTGAGGGGGAGGGTGGGGTTCACTTCGCTCGGGAGCTCCCGAACGAAGTGAACCCCACCCTCCCTCTCAGAAATTGTGGGGGCTAGGGGTAGGGTTCACATGTGGCCCCCTGAGATATCGGATTTGTGTTCCGCCATCTTGGGGCCATCTGGGCCGTCTTGGAGGCGCCTTGGGGCCGTTTTGAAGGCCGTCTAAGCCATCTTGGAGGCATCTTTGGGAGGCCACCTCGACAGGGGAGAAACGTGCTCTGGGCTCGGAGGTCTTGGCGCGCCTCTCTGGCTGGCCGGCGCGTCAGGCCAAGACCTCACTGGGAACCTTTGAGGAACCAAAGCCACTCAGACGTCTAGCATGATGCTGTTCCAAAATATTTAAGCCTTGATCACCAGGAAAATTTTCGAGCACCAAGGAAGTACCGAAACTCGATCATGTGTCGGGCCCCAGGAGTCAGTATCGTTTAACCGACCCCCATCCCCATCCCCATCCACTTCGAGACCCCCGCCAAATTACCCCACCAGTTGGGGATACATCCCTCGAAACCCGAAGGGAACGGCCTATATCCCCGTCTAGGGGGGTCAATCGGCCAGTGGGGCCCAGGCCACGTCGTGAGGATAGGGATCGGTTAAACGATACTCAGGGAGACACTCGATCGACACTGTTTCGACTCTTTTCCGGGTGCTCGAAAGTATTTCTGGGATGTTGTCCTTAAGTACGATGGGAGCAACATAAGTCTAGCACATCGTGCATCCCCTGTGGCAAGGCAAAAGGGGGCGGCGGATCGAAGACGCTTTCGGCGAATCATTCCCGCACCCTGCCTTTTCGAAGCCTATGTGGCCGAGCGTTGCGGCCAGAGCTCGGCCAAGCTATCGTACTACGTCTTCCGTCAGCCGTTGTGGAAACCCTCGAACTAGGGAATACATGGGGGAGAAAGAAGAAGTGGAGGAGATGGAGGAAACATGGATGTGGAGGAGGATGAGGCCTCCTGGGGCACTCTTGAGGTCTCCTGGGAGCTTCCTGGAGGGCTCTTGGAGGCCTGATAAGGGGGCTTCCTTGGGCCTGTGGGCCTTGGGAGGCTCCTCGGGAGGCTGCTTGGCCGTCGGAGGGCCTTCCTGGCCTGTCTGACGCCGTCGGAGCGGTGGCGGATACACAAGTATCTGCAACGGCAGGCAATACCGTGGTCGTCGTCATCATCAACTTCAACCTAACCCTCCGCTCATTGCAGGCATCATTGCCATCGCCCTCGAACTCATTACCACTGTTATCCGCACATCTATCCTCAAGTTACCGTGGTCATCATTCGAATCGTCCCTCCAGCGATCAGGGCTTTGGTAACCTCACTCCTGCCCGTGCCCGGTACCCGGACGATGCGCGCTGCTTCCTGACATGCGCAGCCTATTCTTGAAGGCCGCGGCTGGGCGGGTTGCGGAGGGACGCAGGGATACAGCCCTCCCCGCCCCCACTGATCCTCCCATTCCATCCCTCTCCCTCTCTCGCCCCCCTCCGCTCCCCATCCATCCCCTCCACGACCTCGGACTACTCTCCCCTCTCAGTCCATTTGAAGGCCTGTCAATCGCCGAGTGAACATTCGATCCGACGCTTCCCATCTTCCCCTGCAGTCGTCGCGCTACTATCAAATGGCCTTCGGCCCATCCCGCCACCGTGCCTGGATTGGGTCAGAGTCCTCAGAGATGTTTCTTGGGGTCTCTTCGGAGCGTGCTCGAGGGCCTCGTGGGGGCAGCTTCGGGGCCTCTTGAGGGCCCCTTGTGGGCCTCTTAGGAGCCTCTTGGGGCATCCTGGGGGCCCATTGGGGGCCTCTGGGGGCCTCTTGGGGGCCTCTCGGGGCCTTCTCGGGGCCTCTCGTGGCCGACGGCTCGAAATATACGTTCTCCTCTTGGAGCAGTCTTGGAGGCCTCTTGAGCCGTCTTGGGACCCTCGTAGGCCGTGGGGTCCCGTTGGAGGCCTGTTGGGCCGTCTTGGGGCGATGTTGGGCACCTTTGGGCCGTCTTGGAGCGTCGGGAAGCCGAAAAGACAAGAACACCCAAATCCTCCAAAAACCTACGGAATATTCATTGGTGTTGTTTCTTACAGCGCTCATGGAGGGTTTCTTCAAGGCCTCATGGGCCGTCTGGAGTCCACCTTGGGCGTCTTGGGCCGATCGCTCTCAGACCGTCTTGGGGACCTCTTGGGGCCCTCTTGGCCGGTCTTTGGGGCCCTCTGGGGCCAGAAGGTGCCACGCGACACGCCGCCCTGGACCTCAGGAGATGTTGCCCGCTGGACTGCGGTCTCCGCAAGAATCTTTAATTCGGAGGTTGGCACACCTCCTACCCCGACACGTCGATTAAGGAGTTGGCCGTTTGCGGTTCGCGAGAGGGCGTCGCGGCCGCCGTTTTTGCCGGTCCAGGTCCGTCGGTTTCGGTCCCAGGCCGTTGTCACTAAGGGGAGGTTTACCAAAGGGAGGTCTGTCCACCGCCGAGGAGTCCAGAGGGCAGAGGACTACAGCAGGGGGCCCGAGGACGCGCCCACTCCGTGCCCGACGACACGGTGTCGGACTTGAGACGCCTGCGGCGAGTCACCGCCGCCCCTGTCTTCTGGAAGCGCACGTGTGGCCGAACGCTGTGGCCGGAGTTCGGCCGAGCTATCGTCCTACGGGTTTTCTTCCGGACGTTTTGGGAACCCTCCGGGGAACACGAGGGTGAGAAAGAGGAAGAGGAGGGAAAGGAGGAGGATAAAGAGGAGGAGAAGGAGGAGGAGGAGGAGGAGGGAGAGGCCTCTTGGGAGCCTCTTGGGGCACTCGTTGGGCCTCTTGGGAGCTTCCTGGGGGCCTCTCGGAGGCCTGATGGGGGCTTCATTGGGCATCTTGGGATCATTTGGAGGCTCCCTGGGAGGCACTTTTGGCCGTCTCAGGGTGTTCCTGGCTCGTCGGAAGCCGTCTTGGGGGCCTCTCTGGGCCAACTTGAGGCCCTCTTGGATCGCTTAAGGGCCGTCTTGCAGGCCATCATGGGCGCCTCTGGGGCCGTCTTTGGCGATCTTGAGGCCATCTGGGCCTATCTTGAGGGCACATCCGCCCGTCTTGGAAACGTCTTGAGGCCTTTTTGGGCTCCCTCGGGGCACCGCAGCCAGCCATCTCGGCGACCATCTTGGCCGTCGTGGAGGC